GTGTGTGTGTGTGTGTGTGTGTGTGTAAAATATCAAGTAATAGACTCAGAATCGTTATATAACGAATGGAACAATGCCTTCGGCCACCCCCCCCGCACCCACACCGTCATAGAGGTCTGCCCCGATAGTACTATCATAGCAACAGTACAATCGTAGAAGTCGTGTGCCCCTGTGCAGGGGGGGGGTGAAGATTACTTCGCGTGGAAAGTTTAACGTTTCTGAACAGGGGAAGGTGTAGAATAGTACTTGATATCATACGTATATAGCAGAAATGAAACGTATATTTTAGAACTATGATTGTTAATAACATTTTAACGAAGGACGTGCGACGGCTAAAACCTGTAGGAGGTTACTCAGGGTCATGACCTTGACAGCATATGTCAAGGTCAAAGTCATCGGAGGATGGTCCCCTTTTGTAAAGGTTTACCAAAGTGGAGATAACCTTCATATCTTTTTGGTGCTCCCACCTAAACAAAAAGCAACATATAGCCGAAACACATCCCTTTCGAAACAGTTTCACTTTTATCTGAAACATTTTTTTATATCATCAAAAACAAGCAAGTTATTTAGGTGGCCTGATTTAGATGCTTCACATTGTCGATATTAATTAAAAAGTAAATAATTTTTTGAGTGCAAAGAAATTACTAAGAGTATTATATAATTACAGGTTTGCAAGCTTCGAAAGCATCTGAGTGGAGATATTCGGGCAAATATGGTAATTATATGACGATTATCTAACGAAAATTTTACGCAGTATGCTTTCACTTTCTACTTTACCACATAGCTTTATTAGACATCTTAATAATGCAACATCATTTTACTTTAACGATGATAAATCTTCTGAAAATGTATAAATATACATATATAAATATATACCGATTGATAAAATCGATCGCGGAACAATAAGAAATGATATCTATGATTTTAAAATTAATGTCCGGAGAATTTTCTTTCATAATAAGCATAAAATGTGACAGGTACAATTTTTTTTTATATAGCTTATATGAAACTTACATTCATGTCATTAGTGACCTAATAACAGCAACCTTGAGTATCAGTTAGAGGTATTTGAAGACCAAAGCCAGCAATTGGTATAACAAAACAAATTTAATCATCTAAATAAATCTATAATACGTTATTCAATAATAATATGAGACCGGATAAATTTTCTTTATATTATACATGTATTACGATTTAATATGTTTCTATATATCCTTTATACTAAAAAGATCTTATATGTTTTATCTTGTATATCTTATATATATATATTGTATATAAGTTTCTAACATTGTGTATATTGATACGATCATAAAAAATAGAGTTATCATAGAAATTTTATTTATGATATCATCAAGTTTATTCAGATTATCAGTATTTGCGTTTATCTTTTACACGAGATTAATTGTAATCATACATGCACAAAACAATATATTTGAAACTTTATTTTAAAATTAAAGAAAAGGTAAGCACTTAATGCTTACAGAGGCAATTCTAAGATTGTTTTTCTTTCATATTATTATAATCTGTCTTTAATACAATTCTAAATATTTTAGCGTTTAGATAATGTATTTATCTTAGCATTTGTTTAAATTGTGTATACTACGATGGATAAGTGCTTAATCTATTTTATAATTATAGATTCTATATGTTCTATAGATACGCTCACGTTTTTTGTCACAATTCTAATTACTACAAAGAAATTAAAAAAAAGTAACTCAACTTGCTCGATTAATAAAGTTTAATAATAAAAAGTGTATCCTCCATTACATCAGATCTCATGAGAGCAATTATAATACTTTATCACTTGTATTAGTTGTTCGTTCCTTTCGCCGACAATCATCATGAGTACAAGGATTTTGCACTCCAGAATAGGCAAATCGTGGTTTATCTAGTTATAATTTTTTTTATAAAAAAGATACTAATAGAGCGAGATAGAAAATATATTGTAAAAAATGTAATATGTATGTACAGGCAAAATGTACAAAAATAAAATTATCAATAAATCAGAAAAATTATACATCGAGGAATTTTGTTTTGGATGATATATCTTTTGTTTATTATTTTCGTACGTCATGAATCATCATTATCTTTCTGTTTTGAACAGTAATTCGATACTAACTAATCATAGCGCATAACGTACTAATAATGGTGACATAATTTTGGAATGTATATTACCATATTATCATTAAAATAGCACGTTTGCTACGTCTCAGTACTGATGTGTGTCAATGTTCTGCCACAAAAGTGCGTCAGAATAAAAAATATTTAACAATGACGTGTCCAACTTAGATCATGAAAATCTAAAACACTGATAAAAAAAAGTACTATCATTATTGATTTATATAGTTATCGATCTATTCATGGATAGATATAATTACTTGTTAACATACTTATATAGATCTAGATTTTTGTAGCTGTGAATAATAATATAAAAACGTTTGTCTCCTTTTCTTAAATAACAATAAATCAATTTTTTATTATAATTTTACCATAAGAATAAATATTTTGCTATAGTTACGATTTTAATTATAATTATATGAAAATTCTAAATTTTTTTTCTAATTATATGTGATGCTTACAATTGATTTTAATATTATCTAACACAAAATTATAAAAAAATATTTTTTAAAAAGCAAAAATTTTTAAGAGCTTTTAAATTATTTTTAAAATTTTGTACAATTTATTATATAAAAAATTTTTTTGAAATAGTGCTTAAAATACAATAAAGTATAACAAAATTTAATATTTATAATGCAAATATTAAATTTTGCTGTATTTTGGAATAATTGAAGCTACTGTTTACTGAAGTTTGTAAATAATTATATAGGACCAGAAAATTGGCCGGGAATATGTGCGACAGGAAAGAAGCAGTCGCCGATCGATATCGTGACAGAAGACGCCATAAGAATTGATCTAGGTGCACTTAAATTCAATCGATATGACTTCGCTTTTCCTAGTACGATGATTAACACTGGACATTCTGGTAAATAAATAGGATGTAATACATTTTATTGTTCTAATCAGCATTTCGGTTTTTTAACAAAACAATTTTAGCACAATTGTAGGTTTTAATAAATATGTATAAATTAATAGAGAGTAAATGTCTCTTAGAATCTAACATTGGATGTTTTTTATCTTTATTACATAGAAATTATTATTATACAAAGCATTATTCCGCGAAAATATAATTATATTTTTTGTGTACTTTTAATATCTTTTGATTAAAATTTATTTATAGTGCAAATATTACTTGATGGAGTACCACTCCATCTCAGTGGCGGAAATTTATCATCGTTATATGTTCTGGAGCAAATGCACTTTCATTGGAGTGCAGAGCATACTGTGGACGGTTTACGTGATCCACTAGAGTTGCACTTAGTGCATTACAATAAAAAGTATACGAATTTTAGTGCAGCCTTGCAATATGAAGACGGGATTGTCGTGGTTGCTGTTCTATTTGAGGTGATGTGTTACTCATTTTAATTTTGCTTTTTTCTAAATTGAGAATTTTTTGAACACAGAAATATAAAATAATTATGAATGTATGAACATAACGTAATATTTTGTTACAGTTGAGCAATGTCGATAATCCAGATTTGTCGCTGATTGTAGATGCGACGAAATTGGTGTCCAATTGGGTGGGACACAATATGATACACATGAGAAATAAGCTAATACCTTTGTTGTTCCTACCAAAGGATCATACGACGTACTATAATTACGAAGGATCTTTAACTACACCTACATGCCAGGAGTCTGTATGGTGGTTTATTATGACTGAGAAACTTAAAGTGTCGGAAACGCAGGTAGCTTGAATGTTAAAGTAAACAGAAATTTTAGTTTTGTGTGGTTTATTAATTCTTTTATATAATAGATTATATTATATACGTTAATTATTTTCTTAGAATTCGTTTCGATCAATATAATAACAATAATAATTATAATATTAATATTTAATCTATTTACAGATGGACGTATTTAGACAAATAGATGGCAGTAATGGTACATTGAAATTCAATTACAGACCTATTCAGAAGCTCGGCAACAGAAAAGTGTACCATCGTCTAGAGGGATATATTAACGCGTCGTCGAGTATTACTTGGAATGTCTATACAATTCTCAGCATTCTTCTAGTCAGACTTTTGTGCGAAGATTTTTAGTATAAAATAAATAAGCGCCAAATCAGACTTCATGTTATAGAACGTATACGACGTGATATGACAACTGTTACATGTGATATAATTTATTGCACTACTTTGGAAAATAAGATGTGCATTCATTATGACAAATGTTATACGCTTGTATAAATGCATTATTTGGAAAGCAATGTGTTTTACAGAAACATTGAGAACTGTAGGACTGTTATCAGCATTAATATGTAAAAGATAAGAGTTTTACAAATATAATATATAATGAAAAATCTTCTTTTTATAATCTCCTTCCAAATTCTGTTGAAATATTGGAACTAGATTTTAATTGTTAATTTGTATGTATAAAAACTCTTTTTATGTAAACAGTCTTTTTATGTGATGTAACATAAACATAGCAGTACAGTATATTGCTATATAATATCTATTATTTAATGTTTATGATGTGTCTATAATGATATTAATAATACTGACTGCAAAGTGTGGATTTGTGAGCACAGACTAAAACAAGCAGCGTATTCTTTTGAAAATGTGTTCCTATTTTTATGTACATAAAAATATAAATTATGTTAAAGTTAATTCTATTATCTAATATTATACACATATATTATTCTGATTTATATAGCTTTATTTACTAATAACAGATTTTTAGCTAAAAAAGAAAATTTTTATGTTTGATTTGTAATGTTTTTCATGTTTCATTTGTTTTTTATTTTTGGAGTTAAAAATGATACAAAAATATTAATATTAACGAATATAAAATCTAATTAAAAAAGATTATTTACCAAATTTTTAGCTTTAATATCATTTCAAGAATTCTTTCATTAAGAGATCAGAGTACGTATTATGGAATTATTCGAAATGGATTCTGATCGAAATTATTCAATTATTTAATTAGTCTATTGTCTTTTCTAGGGAAAACAAAATAATTTTGATCGGAATTTACTCCGACTTGTTCTATAATAGATAGTTATCCTATTCCTGGACTGCATTCGGAAACCGAGTGTCCCCGTGTATCACCTTACCATGTTTAATATTGAATAAACAATGACGATAAAACAGAGACACTCGGGTAATGTTTCCGAACGTAGCTCTGGGTGGAGGCACGGTAGTGCTTTAGCGCTAATTGTAAGACAAGTGCAGCGACATAATTAACATAGCGCGAGACCGATTGTCACTTTACACGAGCCAGCGAGTTGCGAGACACTGAGATCGAATCTCAATAATGGCTGAATCGGTCAAGTTCTACGTACGTTTAATCAATAGCTTCCAATCGGATTGTATAATAAGAGTGTTTTTATTTTTTCTCTACGCATCCTATGAGTGGAGATATTGCGACGCAAAGTCTGAATCTGAAACTTCTATACGTCGTCGACCTCGAAAATGTATTGTTGCAGTTTTTGGCGCAAGAACTTGGTATACAAGGTGTACTGTTTTTGAAAAAAGAGGCACTGGTCAGTGATAGGTTTGTTCGCATTGCATGCTCCAATATGCTTCAATATATTACTATTACAGTTTCTATGAATGAGTTGAAGTGAGTAGGAGCTATGGTTGATAGGAGCATGTTGAAACATGTTTTATAACAAGTGAGATTATATGATCTTAAATTCATGTCGTATCGTGAAAATAACAGAGCTTCAAGAAAAGAAGCAAGCATTGTGAATAATAAGTTCTCTTATACGTAATCTAAGTTTGAGCGTGCGATTGTAGAGGAGTCGAAGGAGTGTGAATGTGTGTCAGTATATGCATGTATAAACCCAGGTAACATTAAATATTCCTGAAATATCTATAAAAAGAGTTCCTCAAATCCCTCCCTCCCTAAAAAAAACATGTCAAGATTATTTCGGAGTATATCTCAACTTATTTACAAAATATATTACATAAAAAGAACATTTAAATGTCGGTTAAAGATTCTATTTGTATATCGTTACATATTTCGAGAATATTCCATGTATCTATTCTGCAAAATTTTAATTTTTCTAGAAATTCTAGGTTCGATCGACCTTGAATCACCTTTTAAAAAAAATTGTACTATAAAAAGCACATGTCATGAGTTTTCATCTTAGACAGGCTCTAGTCGAATAAGGGAGGTCAAAATCCTTCCCCATAACGGATTTGGTTGAAGTTTGGCACACTTCTTGGACATTTAAAAGAATTTAACTTCCTAAATTTGGAATTTCTACCCCTCCTGTCGTTCATAACCTTTGAAAGGATGTTTTTTTTAGTAAATAATTTTTTTTTGCTATTGTTTAATGGATTAATTAAAAATTTAATGTCATGGCAGATATATATTATTTAGACACAATCCTGAATTTTTGTTTAACATTTTGATGGAAAATTCTAATTTTGCTAACCAAAATAAAATTTCAAATTTCAATATTTATATAACAATAAACAATAATAAATAACATATAAGAGTCAATTTTAAATAACATACAATATGGAAAGTCAAGGCATAAAATATATTATAATCTATAATTGTCTAATAAATCATATACATATAAACTACATGTTTCAGATTAAAAAATTGTTAAAAAATGGTTAAAGGCTAAAATTAATTTTTTTTATCGGATACTGTCCAAAACTTTAACTAACGGAAAGTTCAGAAATTATATGCGTTTATGTAATGAAAAAGAATTATTTTATGTGATAACAAAAAATTTACTCATTGTAAGATACGTACCATTTAAGTCGTTTTTTTAACTTATCGTAAAGATCGATCATGAAATGTATGCATTAATTAGTATTGTGAATAAAGTAGCTTCAATATTAATATTCATAACTCATCCGCTGTTGATTATTGTATTTCGCAGCTCACTCCATTTCCTCCGATTGACGTATAAGACAATATTAAATTCTGCGACGTCTCTCGGTTCTAGTGGTTCTGCAATGTTTGACGGAGCATAAGATAATTGTCGCAACAGTATAGAGATAAGTATAAAGGACTTAATAATTATTTATATTCTTGATAAGCAGAATCAAAAAATGAAAGGCCACATTCAATGAACTATCATACATATAGTAACCCTTACAAGCGTTTCTATGTTTTCATTATAATAGCATACAGAACATTACAAAATTATCTTCGTCAAAGATACAATTCGACGATATATTTAATACTTAATACATCTGCACAATGATTAGAGGTCAAGCATCATAAAGCAATAGCATGAAGGGAAAGAAATGTTGTCCTTCGTCATACGACTGCTCACATTGTATATTAGCAACAGACTGGGAGAAATAAAGGGAATAACAAATTTCTTAATGTGGAGTAAAGTATAATTTTGGAATAAACTTAGTCATTTTCACTTTTATAAAGGAAGAGGCAATAGCGACATGTAAGGCAGATTATTGCAACCACGAACAATTGAAGTTTCATTTCTTACACGCTCCATTATCAAGACATTTTAGATTATCACAAATATACGACACGAAAAGAATGGATTTTGAAAATGCGAATTTTTTAAACAGTCTAGTGAACATGATATCGGGGAATTTTTTACCAATAGGTAATTCGCGTATTTCAGTAATCTGGCACATTTATAGCGCTGCCGTATGGTTAATAGAATTAATTCATACGATCGCATTGACTGTCGGAATTATTCTTTCACCGAAAGAGAAAAGTCTGAAGGATGGAACTATCGCCGTCGTAATCACTCTGGAAGCTTCTTTTATGCTTACGCGTCTTTATTTACGTAAAAAGCTGATGGAGGAATTAATCGAGAAGATGAACGATATCCTGCAAAGTGCGGACGAAATTATGGAGGATATTGTGAAATCGGCTATAAAGCCCATAACCATGCCGTTCATAATATATGGAGTGACTGGTGTGGTAACTGTCGCGATATGGACTGTACAGCCGATTCTATTGGTTTTCGAAAAGTCTACCTTTTATTATGTAGATTACAATTTGCCAACCGCTTTCAATAGTGAACCATTTTCTAGCCGCGTATTGATTTTTACAACCATTATTATGACAATTGGAAGTAGTTATTTATTTCTTAAGAAATTCGGCGTGGATGTGTACATGATGCATTTAGTATTAATGTTAACGGCTCAATATCGATACACAGCAATAAAGCTCACAGTATTGTTTCGAGATCTACAAAACTGTCACGATGAAGCTCAAAAAGGACATTCTAGTATGGAAGATCGATGGACGGAGAGAGAACTAAGAAGGTTATGTCATCACCAGAATATTGTTTTAAAGTAAGTGTAATGTGTTTATTAAAATAAATATTGAATAATGGAGAGAGAAGAGAGAGAGAGAGAGAGAGAGAAATGCGTTTAGATTATTGCTACTAAAATTATTCTTTTACTGATTTGTAAAAAAATCACAGAAAAAAAGACAAGAGTATAATTATTAATTTGTTACTGAGTATATATGTATATATAAAGTTTCTCTTAAGTCTAACCTCACCACACACACGCGCGCGCACACGCACGCACGCACGCACACTTCTGGAACCCCATTCTCGGAAACGGCTTTAGACATGGAAAAACAGTTTAGACTGGCTTTCAAAATAAAAATAATCTTTTCAAGCCTTGTTGATATGAACATGTTTTCTTGAATGGAATCCTCCATTTTTGTTGCTGAACGTTGTAGTTTTTGTCGAGGCGATTTTAAAATACTATAATAATGTTACTTTTTAAGTATTTTCAAATTTATAAGGCTTGACAATTACAGTGTCACTGACATTTACATTATCTAAAAAAAGAGAGAGGTTCAATTTAAAAAAATTCATTTAAAAAAACATTAATCATATTAACCTAATCTTGAAAAGGTAAAACTGTGAATTACATTTGCAATTTTTATTTAAATATTGTAATTAATTTTTCTAATTTTTGTATTATTTTTTAAAAATTTATATTAATTTTCTATTAACATTGGCTTGATAAATAACATTTTCTCATTTCTTCATTAACATTTCATGAAACATGGAGATTGAAATGAATTTTATTCATTAATTTTTTACTATTTTTATTTTGCCTACAATTACTCAACCTATGCGCATCCAAAATTATCCGATGTGCAAAAATTTATTCGCTTTTGCTTTTTTTTTACTTTTTATCAAATACAACATTATCAGAAAAAATTATTAAATATGAGAATGCATATCAATGGAGAAATATATGTTTGTGATTTATATTCCCTCTTATATCGATTCTTCAAAACTTCACAGTAGTAAATTTCTCTTAAGTGAGCACAATTCTCCACTTTCCTCTGCATATATACTATATACATATATATACATATGTATATACATATATATGTACAAGTACCTGTATATATTATTATTATATTTATATTATACATGTATAATTACATATTATATTTATAGTATAATAACATTAAAAGTATGAAATGTAAGCCGCATTTTTCTAAAAATAACCAATATTCCATTAAATATTACAATTTCAAAACCTGTACTTTTCCAATTGTAATGTTTAACAGAATATGGATTTTTTTATTTATAAAATACATTGTTTATACATTTTATGATCCTTGTACATATATTCTGTGTTGTGTTTTAGCATGTCATTTATATTAAAGAAACTTCTGTCTGTGAACTTCAGTATACTCTATATCAATAATGTATTTCGGTTCTGCTTTATAGGTATCTTATTGAGCGCAGT